AAGCTGCCTGAGCCAGAAGGCCTGCCTGCCTGCCATAGTTCATTTCTCCTGCTCAGTGAATATACCCAGAGGGTGGCTGAGATTGAGGCTTTGGGTTCCCCAGGAAGCTGCCTTACTATACTGTGCTGCCCTGTAGCTGAGCCTGTTGTGCTTTCAGGGCAGGTAGCAGGATGCTGTCCCCTTGGATCTGCAGGGTTCTCAAAGCAGACAAGTGCCTCCACTACCCCACCACTCCCCAGCTCATCTTCTTCCCAGCCTGTGCCTTCCTCCAGTTCTAGTAAACAGTGCCAAGTGAATGTAATTGTTCTCTGACTCTTCTCTGGGGGCTCAGTGGCAGCTGCTGCTTTCTTCATTTTTAAAAATTTGCCACTTGGTGAAAGCCACTGAGATGGTTTTTTCCAGCCTTGGGCAAGGGGAGCTGTGGAATCTGGAGTGAATGAGGTCATCTGGACCTCATTGCCTTTTTGTGAAGCCGGCAGTAAGTTGGCCAGTCACCTGCCCACCCCTAGGGCTGTGTCTGGGGATGAGGCCACTGCTACCTATACCTAGGAAATGAGAGATGGGCCTGGTCTTATACCCAGTCTGTGTCCAGTGTTTCTTCCACCCCCAGGACCCTTTGGCCTAGGCTCATGATGGGTGGGCCTGCCTTTCCAGCTGCTGCCTCAGCCCTAATCCAAGACAGTTGTTTAGCTCAGGGTGCATAGTGGTTTTTAAATCCTACTCCCCCATACACCTAAACTTGTGCTTTCCTTTTCTCCTGACCAGGTAAACTGTCTTGAGCCCCACCCTCACCTGCCTGTGCTGGCAACCAGCGGCCTAGACCATGATGTCAAGATCTGGGCACCCACAGCTGAAACTTCCACCGAGCTTACAGGGTTGAAGGACGTAAGTAGCTGACGGCATATGTTCTTTTTATTTATCCCCATACTGTTACGAGTCTTCATTGTCATAGGAAGGAACAACTTGCTGCCCTGTTCTTTAAAGGCACTGGTCTAACACCCTCCCCAACATTCCTGTCATTGCCTCTTGTCCCTGTTGAGGGGGCCAGGGGGCAGCTTTGAAGTGGCCTCTAGTTTGTGGTAGAGTGGGGATGGGGATGGGGACAGCTTTAGGAAGAATCATTCCATTTTAAAGCCTCTTACCTTCTCAGTGGATGAACCTGGGGCATCCTTTCCTAATCTAATCTTGCTCCACTTCAGCTTAACAGTTCCTAAGGGAAGTTTTTATTGGGACAGAACACCAGCCTTTTCTGATCAGGTCCAAGGTTCCTGTTTATATCCCCCCAACCCTTTTCGGTTCCAGGTGATTAAGAAGAACAAGCGGGAGCGGGATGAAGATAGTTTGCACCACACTGACCTGTTTGATAGCCACATGCTCTGGTTCCTTATGCATCACCTGAGACAGAGACGCCATCACCGGGTAAGCTGGAGTGGGGAGTGAGCTCCCAAGGGCAGTGACCCTCTCAAGAGGGTAAGAAGTTGCAGTGCATACTTCCTCACTACTTTAAGGAGGAATCACGTAGTATTGGTTGGGTTTCCTATCCATTGTCCCCCATCCCTAGCAGAGCCCTGATGTAGCCTTGGAAGAGCCACCAGGAGAAATGGGTGGTGTCTGCCCTTTGTTCTCCATCGCCATGTATGCATAGTGCTGTCTTCATAAAGGCAAAGGCATGAGGGTGGGGAAGGAATTGAGAAAAAATAATAAGTCTCAGGGTGACCCTTCTGCTTTTCTTCTCATGCCAGAAGAGGCCTAGGACAGAGATTAGCAAACTTTGGCAGTTGGCATGCTGCCTGATTTTTGTAAATAAAGTTTGATTGGAATACAGCCACATCCATTCATTTATGTATTGTTTGTGGCTGCTTTCACGCTACACAGCACTGTTGAATAGTTGTGACAGATATATGGCCTATGAGCTATAATATTTACTGTCATTAAAAAAAATTCTGTTGACTCCTGGCCTAGAGCATTTCCAGGCAAATTACTAACAAGCCTTTCCCATCCTACAGCGCTGGCGAGAACCTGGGGTTGGGGCCACAGACGCAGACTCGGATGAGTCTCCCAGTTCCTCAGACACATCGGACGAGGAGGAGGGCCCCGACCGGGTGCAGTGCATGCCGTCCTGAGGCCTCGTACCCACGAGGGGCGGGCTGGGACTGCCAACCCAATCCTGCCTGGGCAGCCCTTTCCTGTCCCAGGCCCTTACATTCAGCAGAAACGCACTTTGGACTTTTTGCTTTAGATAAAAGAAAGACATCCCAAGAGAAGGACAAACCAGAGGGGAGTAAACCCACAGAGAGTACCTAGGAGTGGCAGTTGAGCCCTGGAATGGGGTTCCCTGGAGAGGTCCATAGGACTCAGCAGAAATGGCCTCTCCCCAAAGCCTTTTTTGGGGGGGAGAGGGGAGCTTATTTTGTTAACTGGTTTGGGATAGGGAATGGGGTTTCCTTTTCTTTAATCTCCCTTGTTTCTTGGGTGGGGGGTGGGGGGATAACTGGCTATTCAGCACCAAGGGGCCAGAGTGGGGGTGGTAGAAGTGCGGCTCTCTCTTTGGTTTAGGTTTTTGACCTTTGTTTCCTTTATTTTTTAAAAGTCTATGACAGTTTCATTGTTTTTTTTTTTTTTTTTCCCTCTGAGCAACCCCATGCCAGGATCCTGTTTTTCTGGGAAGTCCTTAGAGCCCCTAACCATCCCATACTCTTCACTTTCCTTTCCACACCCCATTCATTCTCTCTACTTATCACAGTGTTTTGCACTTGATTATGTATCCTTCACTCTCTTCTCTTCATCCATCACCCCCTCAATAGGTCTGGTGAGGTTGAGGGGAGGTAGGAGGAGGGGCAGAAGTGGAGGAAGAATAGGAAGGATGTTACCTCTTCTGTTACTTTAAAAAAAAAAACTTTGGTGGCAGCAATCTCCCTGTCCCTATCACTGTTAGAGGCCTAATTTTATATCTATAAATATATTAAAAGCAAGTCAAACTTGGATGTTATCACGTTAAAATTATTGTCAAAGTTTAAATATCTATACCATATATTCTCTATGACTGCAATAAAGGGAGTTACAGGAGAGAGTGAGCGAGAGTAATGATGTGGAGGTGACACTTGGGGTCAGCCTACCCTCTATGTATGGCCATTGGAAATTGAGGCTTAGTGCTTATGTTTTAGGAGGCTCAGGAATGGAAGGATCCTCAATTCTGCCCTTCCCTACTTTCCTGCTGTGGTTTCGGGATTGGGAAAACAGGAAATTCCTTTCAGCTCTTTGCTTCAGATCTCCTACCTCTCCTTAGGTCTTGTAGGGGTTCCAGGATGGCTCTTCTAACCAGAGACTGGCCCGTCTTTAAAACTTACTGAACTGTAACTTCAGGAAGGGTTCTGCCACTGCGGACTCTCTCTCCTAGTATTATGTGTGACAGAGGACATACTCACTCTTACCTTTCGCTGCTTGATTCTTTAAACTATCCAACTCTATACCATCTCCCTTCCTAACGGATGAGTATAGGGAAAGACCTCCTGGGTTTGACTTTATACCTTGTCCACTTCTTGATATTTCGGGATTGAGGGACAAGTTGTTAATCTAAGAATTGATTAAATAAGGTGACTAGGGCTTGGACACCTGTCTTATCACTGGTCACTGAATATGAAAGTCCCAGTTGAATTCTTGCCCTTAAATGCCTTTGCTGCTATTTCTTTGCCCCCACCCAGGAATTCTGCTTCCTGGGACAGTCAGATTATACTAGAACAGGCCAGGAAGGAAGGGAAGAGTGAAAGGATGCAATTCCCAGACTCTCCTTCCTCCTGCCCCTTTTCCTAGCAGCTCTCAGACCAGATGTTAGCTGCTACACTTCCTCCCTGAGATAGGGAATGTGTGGTGACTTAGTGGTCTGTGTTCCTATTGCTAGTGGGGTGATGGAGTGGGCTGAAAACCATGCACTCTGGAATTTGTTGTGTATTTTCTCTCAGTAAAGCTTTTTTTTTTCTGACTGCTGCTCTCTGTGTGATATGTGGGCCATTCATTTGTGATGGGCTATTTTTGCTCCTTCCAATATAGGTGCCTGGCCCTGCCCTTATTACAGTTTTAGGAAGTCCAGTCTGGGATTTCCATGTTTCCAGAGCTTGGGCTCCAATTGGAGACTGTTGTAAGTGGAATAGGCTCCACAGCTCAGTGATACTTAGGAGATGGGGGAAGGGAGAGAGACTATTAGAGGTGTTTTCCTGGCCTCTGTTCCAGGCTGCAGTGAGGGATTTGGGGATAAATATTGCTCCCCCTCCCTTCCCAGTCATTCTCAGGCTCCAAAATCCTGGTTATTCACAGAAATTCTAGAATCAGTCAGGTACAGTACAATCAATCACCTTTATTCCAGGGTTAGAACAAGGCCGTGCACACTGCAGACAGAGGAGCACAGGATAGGGGCAATCTCACAGCAGTACAGGGGGTGGGAGGGCAGGTTAGTCTTTTTAGATTATTTTGCCTTACAGAGAAATTACTAGACTGCTGAAAATGACCCTGTCTCCCTTCTCCCATCTCATCCTCTCCTTTCATCAAAGGAAAGGTCCTTATTCATTCATTCGCATTCTCTCTCTCTCTTTCTCTCTCTCTAGCTCTCCCTTTCCCTCTCTCGCTCTCACATAACATATCCTGACTGGAAGGACAATTCATGCTCATTTCCTCCCAGTTCTACAAGTATCTTTCTCCTTGAGGGAGAAGCCAGACAGGGCTGGGGAAACTTGGGAAGGTCCTTTAAGGCAAAACTGTGGAGTACTCGAGGTGTATGTGTTAAGGCAGGTGTCCGCAGCAGTGGCCAGAGGGGACAGGTAGGCTAGGCTGGGCTAGGAGTAGAGGGTGCTCTCCACCCAGTCTGGCTTCTTCCCTCTTCCAACAGCCAGCCCTCCCCTCCCACTGAAGTTTTGCTCCCACATCCTATAAACTCCTAACTTAAACTTTCTCTAAATAGTCTCTTGAGATTGCATGTGAATTTCAAGTTAAAAAAAAAAAAAGTTTTCTGTTCTGACTGTGTAGCAATTTGACTCTGCCACTCCTTTCACTGTGGCATTCCCCTCCCACCCCCGCTCTGGCCTAGACAATAAGTTAATGCTAGACACCACAAAAAAGGGCAGACATGGCAGTGCGGGTTTAATATACATATATGTAGAATATATATGTACACACAGTTAGCACGGTCAGGGTGGGGAGGAGCATCTTGGGACAGGCGGGAGGCTGGGGTCACTGTACTCTAGTGATTCGGCTAGGTGTTCACAAGCCCAAGGCGCCAGGGTATTCAGGGAGAGGGGTTACCAAGTCCCCTCATGGAATGAACTGGGCATCAGTGCAAAGGAAAACACTGTCACTGTCGTTAACTTCTTCCCTTTCTGGCTTGGGGTGTTCTAGAACAGGGAGAGAGGGAAGGTTGCCTGCAATAACCACCTTGGGACCCTGTAGGTAGGGGCAGGATTGGAGTTAAAACCTAAGGATTTCATTCCCCAACCTCCCTAGATTCAGGGTCAGTATATGCAACAGTCTGAGTAGGAATAAAGGAGTGGAAAAGGGGAGCCCTCTCTCTGCCCTTATTCCCCATCTCAGGCTCAGTGGGGCATGCTCCCAGCCCAGTCTCTCCAGAGCAGAGGGGTATGGGGGGTATCTTAATGCCGGGTGCTCCATGGGGTTTGAACTTCGGGGCCAGGAAAGGTTCCAGTGGTCCTCATTAGGTTCCTGGCTCATACACATCCTAGCCCCCTGAGAGGGGAACAAAAAAGGACCTGCTGGTGCCCAGGCCCTCCAGCCTGAGGAACAGCTGGAAACTGGACTCCTTAGCAGTCCAGCATGGGAGAACAAATACTGAACTCTGGCTTTTCTTTGCCCCTTCCTGGTGGGGTTGGATAGCCTCTTCACTTTCCCTTCCACTGCTTTTCATTAGATCCACCCACCTCTCCCATGCCTCACCCCCACCTGGGCTCCTCAATGCAGGAAAATACAGGTCCTTTCTGCTCCTACTCTTTTGAGATGTGGGGGAAGAATGGAGGAAAGGGAAGTAGGAGGAATGTGTCCATTTCTATTTGCATAGAAATAGCCCCCATCTCCCCCTAGAGTGGGGAAACTAATCCACCCCCAGCCCCTGACCCCCATCCCCTCACAAGGAGGAGGAACTAGATGAGCTAGACATATAGACAGACAGCCAGAGCGTGCGCACACGCACACACACGCGCACAGTACGGGGGTTAGGACCAGGTTAGTAAGTGGGTAGATTGGGGAGGGGGGTTGCCCTTGCCCCCTCCCCTGGAGGATTGGGGAAGGGAGTGGTCCGATGAAGGTCCAACCTTCCTCCTCTTCCTCCCCCTTGCTCAGGCTTTCTTCGGTGGAGGAGCCAATTTGATGATCTCTTCCTCAGAGGGCTGCCGGATAATGTCTGGGGGCAAAAAGGGATGTATCCAGGGATGGAAGTCGTGGGAGACACCAGGCAGGCGCGTTGAGCGTTAGCCTCCATTCTCCCAAAATTCAAGTACTCCAAGGATAATCCATGGGAGGGGCAGAGGTGTATCTTAAAGGCATGGCCTCTTACCTTTGTACTTCTTGGCACTGGGGATACGGGTTAGCTTGGTGTCCAGCTCATCCTCCTCAGAGATCTTCAGAACACGGGTTCTATAGTCAACCACCATAGTGAGTAGGTCAGGACGGCGAGAGATCTCAAAGATGTGCTCAATGTAGGAGAGGTTGTCTGGAGGAAGGGAGGAGAAGACTGAGAGTGAGAGCTAGGCTTTAGAGGTCAGCTTCCCCTATTCTACCAGACCAGGCTTCTGGAACCAAGGCTGAGTTGCTCACATTGGTTATTGGAATGGGGCAACATTGGAAGAACAGGGGCTACTAAGCCAGAAAAAGAAAGCTAAGGCACCAAAAAACAGAACAGAGGACTGTTTCCGGGAAGAGCAGATTGTTGATCAGTGAAGTTTCTAGATTATGAATTTAGAAAGATTTAGGTTAAATACCAGGGCCCACGCTGTGGGGGAGGGGAGAATAGAAAAATTGACTTGGCTTCTAAATCTCCACACCCACCCTGTCCCTCTTCCACTTTTCTCCAAGTAAGCATCAGAAAGAATTTCCTAAGGACACATGTGGGACTGGAGGGGTGGAATCTCTAGACAACCCAGGAGATTTTGCGCCTAGTGATAAAGGTAATTCTGAATGAGAGAAGGCACAGACGACCAGAAGGATGATCTCCATGGCTTGGCCAGTTCTAGGAGATTGCAGACGCCCTGAGACCTCATTCCCTGGCTCCTCCCCTCTGACTACTGCAGTAGTTTCCTAACTGTAACACGTACTCCTTTAGCCTCCCTCCCTGCTATCCATGCTCCAGTCAGATTAGTATCTCTGCAGGGCCCTCAGGTCACTCACCTCAAATCCCCTCTCAAGGCACTCCACAGCACAGCTTTAACTTCCCTTTCCAGCCACTTCTAAACATGCCCTGTGCCCATAGCAGCCAAGCTAAGCAGGACTCCTGCTTTTCCAAACACACCAGGCACTCTCCCACCTCTGCCTATGGCCCTTTGCCTAACATGCCTTTTGGATCCTGCCTTTGACATCCCACTTCCCTTTCAGGGCCACTTTAAAGATCGATTCCTCCCTAAAGCCCCTCCCAGAGCAGTGGTCTCTAAAAGTGGATAAGATGATGTTAGAACTTGTGGTTTTATTTTAAATTTTATCACTTTTAACTTCTATTTTAATATTATATATGTGATAATAGCACAGTAGTATCTGAGTAACATTTTTTACTGACAAAGGGCATACTGAAGAATGTAAAGACCACTAGCCTAGAGCCCCTCTACTTTCTTAAGAGCATTCCTCCTCTCCTGCCTTGCCAGAGGAGTACACTTTGTGTGTAAAGGAGCTCTGAGCTCATCTCAGAGTGAACTGAGCCTGAAAGGCTAATGGTAGGATGCCTGTCCCCCCCCCCCACCTTTGTCCAGCTTGTTGTGGCTCTCCAGGAAGCTAAACCAGGCACTGCCTGTAGTGATCTCCTCACTCTTCTCACTGGGGATGTCCTCCTTGCAGGCAGACTTGAGCTGTTCCAGATCTTCAAGAGTGATGTTGTTGGTCAGGTCCTGGAGGAGGGTCCCATACTCGGCCATGACTGGAGTTGGGAGGAACAAAGGGAGAGGAGGCTGAGTTGAGTTTTGGGGTGTGGTTCACTCACTGGCACTACCCACCCCCTCTGCCTAGACATGTGCCAACACCACAGAGGTTGGGGAGGGCCAGGGCTGGAGGGAAGAAAGGAAGACCTAAGGGAGGTGGGATTAGATGGGAAGAAACTCAGAAGCTAGGGGCCAGTCTGGAGCCTAGAGTGACAAGTCACACCTCCTTCCCCCCACCATCTTTTTTCTTCATTTTTCCCCCTCTAACAGTATCCCTGGCAACAGCTCCCCTGACTGAGGAGGCGGTTACCATAGCAGCCTGCTCCCGACTTTCTCACCCGCTGCCTCCAAGTTCCCCCCAGAATCACCCCACCCACCTGCAACCCCTCCCCCGCCAAAAAAAAAAAAAAACACTCCAAAACATCAAGCAGGGAGAGGTTTGCTGTGGCAAGGAGAAGGAGCTGGAGGGGGTTGGTTAGAGCTCATGTGTTCTAGCTTCCATTCTTCCCCAGAAGCAAAGGGGTCCCTCACTTCAACTCCCACCAACCCACTAATGACTCATTTTGGATCGATGCCTAGTTGCTTGGTCTAATGGTCCCCTGGCTCCTCCATGCTCAGCCCTATATTCAGTTATAAGGGCTCAGGGGGTGGGGGCAGGGAGGGGGGAAGCAGTGGGCCACCCCCATCTTTGTGGAGCCCATTTTCTCCCCTGATCGCTGCTGGACCTCCACACAGCCCTCTCTCCTAGCCTTTGTGTTATGCCTACAGCCCCTGTGCTCAAGAATACCAAGCGGCTGGCTCTGGCCCCCTGCCCAGTTCCCAGGCTGGCTGGGTGGTAGGGGGAAGGGGTTTAGAAGCAGCTTCAGGAGAGTCTGGCAGGAAGGGGGCTGCCACTCCTGCTTAAATCAACATCCGGCTGGCACTACTACCTTCAGCAAGACCTCCCAAAGGGGGCTGGGCAAGGCTAAATCTCATCTAGGCCTTCACCCCATCCCTCTCTTTTAACGATCCTTAGGTGAAAACGTAGAGAACATTCAAGGCCCTCCTTCCACTAAGATAGGGACTGTGGCTAAGACAGGAAGAAAGGAGGTCAGACCTTAGAATGAACTTTCTGGATTTGATAAAATATGAAACTAGTGGTGAGTTTAAAAAGAGGGCTTTTTTTCCCCTCACAATGAGTATATATTTCTTTTATAATCAGAAAAGTAAAGCATTTTAAAAAGTAAATAACCTTATAAACACTGTGGCTAAACCAAAGGGTAGGGCAAGGAGATAGACGACCTTGTACTTGACTGAGCCTGCCCACAAATCATCCCAACAATGGGCTGGGAATGTGGCAGATGGAAGGGGGCTGGTTGACACACACTATTTTCCTTATTTTTTTGGCCTATATGCAGGGAAACTGAGGCAGAAAGGCATGCCTGCTACATAGTAAGAGGCGTGGACCCAGAAGTCCCCATTCCCAGCCTCCTACTTGGACCAGAACAAACAAGCTTCCCTTAATGGCAGGCACCGTGACACACACAATGAGCCAGGCAGCAGGGCCAGCACAACCCCCACAAGAAACAGGCATTTACAGGCATGCTCACTTGCACACCCAGGTGCAACCAGACAGAAGGTCCCAGCAGTGGTCCTGCCAGGCTGGGCCAGGAACAATGCTCTCTGACTGTCAGCACCAGGAACCGTCTCTGCCTTGAAATCTAGGTCACAGCAGCAGGCTCTGGAGCCCAGCGCCCCCCCCCCCCCGACCCGCCCCGCCACACACACTGATAATCCGAGGACAGAAAAGGGGGGATGCGGGCAAGGGGGATGGTCAGGAGGGGGTCCATAGATGGCGATAATAATGGGGTGGGGGTGAGGAGAGCTGAAAAGGGCAGCATGGGAAGGAGGCAAGATGCCCCCAAGAAGACCCTGCCTCTGTCAAGGCAACCCTGGGACCAAGCCCTTAGCTGGAAAATGGGACAGAATTTAGGGTCATCCTGCCCTGTTTTCACATGGAAGATGAGTTTGTAAATAGAGATCCTGTGGGAGGAAAGTGTGTGTGTGTGTGTACTCACGGGAGGAGTTAAGATTTAAGGCTCTGAATCTGAAACAGACTTAGGGGAGGTGGGCGGGAAGGGATTAACGTGTGTGAGACACCCACCCACAAAGGCTGGGGGGGTGGGTAGGAGCTTTCTAACAGAGTGAAACAGATACATGGAGGCCCCTAAGAGAAATGGGGGTGGGAATGTTAGAGTGCCAGGGGAGAACTGTGTGTGTGCCAGGCTCCTACGTATGGATGCTGATCCCTGGGTGTGGGCACAGGTATGGGCAGGAGGCAGTGGCTGGGGTCTGGGGCATGTGTTTGGATGTTCCGGTAATGGATATTATGTGCCAGCACTGGATGTGTGACTGTGAGTGTCTGTGGTCTGTGTGTTTATGTGTGTGAACCAGCTGAGAGTATGTGTAAGAAGGTAGATAATCACAGGCTCACATCCAGAGAAAATAGGAAGGGTGAGGGGTGCCTACAGAATGGAGGAAGAGAGCTAGAGCTGGGAGAGGGAAAGAGACTGATGCTGCAAAGGAGGAATCCTGGGGAGAGAGGGGCAGGGAGCACAGAGTCCACGATGAGAAGGCTTGAAGGCTGAAGCCTTGGCTCGGTGGTTACCATGGCAACCTCCATTCTGGGTGCCCCCCCCCCAGTCGTCAGGACAGTCATACCACTGGATGGGAGGGGTGTGTGGAGTGGTGAGTAAGAAGTGACAGAAAGGATTGGAGAAAGGCCCCTGCGGGAGCAGGGAAAGGCAGCCTAGTTGCCTCCCTCCCTGGAGAGATCCCATTTGCCCAGGCCTGTGGCAGCAGGGGTCAGGGCAGGATAGTCTGGGAGGAGTATGAGAAGGGGGAATTTCCTTATGTGGCTCTCAAGTCTCACTGATCAACCACTGTGCCCAGGATGGTCTGGCCACGGTGGGGTTTGACAGAAACCATGTCACCTTCCTCACCCGAGATTCAGAATTCCTTAGGGCCTATGGAGAAGTCTCCTGCCCTCCTACCTCTGAAAAGTCCAGATCTCTGGAGCAGTACAGAGGCTGCCCAGAAACACCAGGCAGCCTGGGCGGTGGCCATTCTTGGGACAGGATACCAGGGCAGGAACCGGGAACCGGAGCCGAGGCTGCCAGGAAGTCAGTCCCCTTCCCTCCCAGATCATTCTGTGCTCTGCTCACTGCTTCCTCACACCTTCCTTCCTTCCTCCCTCTCCTTCCAAGCTGGCCCCAGGCAGAACCCTGACAAAGGTCAAACCAAGTGAGGATGCTGGGGAAGAGGGGCAGGAGGTAAGGATCGTTATATACTGACCTTCTAGGGTAGGAGATGGGAGCATGACAGGTGGGTGCTCTCTGGGCACTGGGGGATGAAGAGACCGGCCCTGGGGGTACTTTGAGAAGCCTAGCAAAATGGGATAACCACCTGTGGAAGAGGTGGTAGCACCAAAAGAATTTCTGTGCATTATGACGTTAATTCATGATTATCCCCTCTCCCTAGCATTTGGTTCCAAATCCTCAGTAAACTTAAGAAGAAAGCCTGAATATTAGGAGCTGCTGCCCCTCCTTCCCTCACATCTGTGGCAGCTGCCTAATGCTGAGGGGAGGGGCCATCTCACACAGCTGCAAGGACCTGGAGATCCCTGCAATGGGCAAGAGGGTGCTTGTAGACACTCAAGTCTGTCTGTCTTGTTGCTTGGAGTTGGGGGTAAGGGGGTGGTAATCAAGGAGAAGCAGAGGGGTGGGAGGGGAAGAGTGCAAGATTCCTATTTTAAATTTTATCTTTTCCCAAATTCAAGCAGTCCTGTAGTTCATCCCTAATTATTCCTTTAATGTCATACTCAATTGACTTCTTCCCTTAGCTTCTACTCAGCTTTGGGGAGTGGGGAGTGTGTTTATTCCTGTAATGAAGGAAGAAGAGGGCTCTAAGGCTCCAGAGTCAGTCTGGGAATGAGGGGAAGCAGGATACCTGGGCCTCAAAATGTTCGGTTCAGTCCAAGAAGCAAAATGGGTTGCCTATGGGCAGAGGGACAGGGCTAAGCCTTTAGCCCTTAGTCTAAGACAAGAAAGACCAAACCCAAGATGGGGGCATCAGGAGACACCTGGCATTGGATCAGGCAGGGCAGAGAAGGGCTGCCTGATGGCGAGGAGGGGGATGGGCCTGTGCCACTCTCCACTCCTCTGGTTGTCTCTCCCTACTTCTATTTCTGTTTCTCTCCCATCTCTCTGTCTTCCTCATCCATTGCCTTTCTCCCTGGTCTCTCAGTCTCTCTTTTCCTCCTTTCCTTTCAATGAGCTTTCATTCTATCCCACTTGATGGTAGCCATGAATACGTAGGACTCCTGGGTTCTGTGACTCAGTGGTCCCCATCTGAAGACTTAGAGCTGCTATACTGTTAGGAGGGAGTGAGCATCCATGCTGTAAAGAGGTAGAGTAAGTTTGGTGGGGAGGGGCCTGGATTGGTTGGCTGCATACAGGTTGGTGATGTCCACCATTGCATTGTGTGTGACGATCTGCAGGAGAGAGTGAGGGGATGGCATGGCAGGGTGTGACTCTGTGGCCCTCTCCTTCATGCATGACAATACATGTACATGTGATGGGCACAGGTGTCAGGGAAGTGAGGAAGTAGGCAACCAGGGCAGCCGACAGCCTAGGGCATCTCTGGCAATTTCCCCAATGGAGTGTTTAACCACAAAGGGAAGAGCAATTAAAGCTAATCGCTCTGACAGCCTGGGGGCCAGACACATACTAGAGAAACAAAATACACATATTCAGCATGTTTCCCCTGACTCCCTGTGGTCACACCACCACCCTGCTTTCATCCTCCCAGATTGCTGAGCCTCTGTGGTCCATTGCCAGCACTCTTCCCACTCTTCTGACCATCTCAGTCTCTCACTTCCTCCTTGTCCCTGTCCCTGTCTGTCTGTCTGTCCCTCTCTCCATCTGTCTCCCTCTCACACACATTCTCCTCATTCTCTCTCTCTGACTTGGGCTCCATCCTTGGCTGACTCATATTCATTCTTTCTTTTTCTCCCTCTTCCTTTCTTCCACCCCCTCCTCCATCCCTTGGCCACTCTGATGCCCAGAAACCAGCCACTCCCAGCACCCTTAGCTCTAACTGGACCCAGCAAGAAAGGCCACCAGCAGCCCATACCCAACCTACTCACCCAGTTTCAGAGCACCAGGCTCACTCGCACTCAAGATCCTGTCTCCCTGTCCTGAAGTGAGACAAAAATTTTCTTGCATCTTTTCCCACTTTTAAAGAGAGGCGATCTGAAGCCCAGGGCTGGGAGAAGGTGCCCGGAAAATTAGGGTGGACTTGGGGACAGTGGCCCCCACTCAGCTGTCCTGTTAGATTGCTGTTCTTCCAAGAAGACTTACACATGGGAGACTGAGGGGGTGAGGTGGGGGGTTGGATGTGTAGTGCAGCGACGTTTGTGATTTGCTGTGTGCGAGACGATGTGTGTAAGAGTCATATGGGTGTGTGTCACCGTGTGTACTGGTGTGTGTCTTCTTGTAGGTGTGTGTGTCTCTGTCAGTTTTGACATGGATTATATGAAATTAATTAGGGGTTTTACAGTTAGCTACTTCACTCCTCTACACCCCCAGCTCCTTCCTCCTTACCTCCGGACAAGCCTTCCCCAATTCCACCTCTTCCCCAGGTGCAGAGGCTAGCGTGAGGGCACATGGTGCCAGCAGCCGGGTTGAGCCCTCGGAGCAGGGGCGGCAGCCCGGGTAACTGAGGCAGGGCTGGGCCGGGAGACCGCCAGCCCAGGCGAGGCCGGAGCCAGAGAAGGGGAGGGAGGGGCGGGAGCTGGCTCGGCCGAGCCGGCTGGGCGGGAAGCAGGCTCCATCCTAATCCCCAGGCCCCGGTCCGACTCCCAAACTGCCGTTCAGCATGGAATGGGCGGCCAAAGCCACGCCGCCTGCAGCACCCTCTCGGCGCTCAGAACGCACCGACAGAGACGGAGCCCGTGCGGCCTGACACAGAGCGGACCCGTCCGGGGCCCCCGCTCCCCATCTGGCCCGGGGCGTCCCGGATCGACGCCCCTCCGAGTCCAGACCCCAAATCTGCCCCCTCCCCGCGACACATCTCCTCTCCGCCCTCTCACCGCCTCCGGGGCTGAGCGCTCAGGGCGCGGGCACTCGGGTGTCCCCGGTTCCTGAGGAGCGTCCGGAGCCTCCTCCTCAGCTCCCGCCGCCGCCGCTTCTGCCGCCGCCGCCGCCGCCGCCGCCGCCGCCGCCGCCGCCTCTTCC